TATATAATGGTCTTTGACAATGCTGATGTTTTATCTCCTGCTGAGCTAGAGGGATATTTTCCACCTGGTCAAAGGGGAAACATTCTGATAACTAGTCGCAACTTTACCATGCAATGTCTGACATCCCCAGAGAATTCTCTTGAGGTGACAGAGATGAAAGAAACTCAAGCTATTTTATTACTTCTAAAAGCTAGCAGTTTGAGTACTTCCAGCATGGAATTTGAAGCAGAAGCTGCTAAGATTGTTAAAGAGCTTTGTTGTTTACCTCTTGCTGTTGATCAGGCTGGTTCATTCATTGCTTCTGGAGCTTGTAACATTGGAGACTACCTTGATAAATATCTCCATCACCGAGAGACATTGTTATCACATTCAGAGTTTACAGGAGCATCTAAATATAACAAAAGTGTCTATGGAACTTGGGAGTTATCATATGAGGAAATCCAAAAGAGGGCTGGATCTCATGATTTCCACAAGGCCAGAGCGGCGGACAGTGCATTATTTCTACTGGCATTGTTTCCATTTTTTCATCATGAGAGTATCAGTGAAGAGATTTTCTCCAATGCTGCTACTCACAGAAATAAAACAATGTCTCACTCTGACTTACCACTGGCATATTCTGTTCTGGATCACAAACTGCTTTCACTGAATAAGGATGGTACTTGGGATAATTTTATCTTCAAAGAGGGAGTTCGTGTCTTACTGTCTTTCTGCTTGATCAAGAAAGGTGCATTTGGTAGTGTGCATAGTATGCATCCACTGGTCAATGCATGGGGTAGAGACAGGATGAGTGTGGATGAACAGCAAAAATGCTCTTTAGTGGCATTTGCTACATTATCTGCTTCTCTAAAAGAAGTTAAATTTCAAACATCACATTGATTTAGGAGGACTTTGGTAGCACATGTTAGAAGAAATATACAGTGTACCAGCAACTACATTGATGATGCTTATGAAAAGTTTGGCTGGCTACTAAGAGAGCAAGGATATTCAAGAGAAGCAGAGAAGCTGGAGAGCCAAGTTCTGAATGCCAGAAAAAGAATTCTTGGAGAAGAACACCCAGATACTGTCTTAGCCATGGAAAATCTTGCATCCACATACAGTGATCTGGGAAAATACACAGAAGCAAAGAATCTAAGAATTGCAGTTCTGGGTGTCAGAAACAAAATTCTTGGAGAAGAAGACCCACAAACAATCTTAGCCATGGAAAATCTTGCATCCACATACAGCCATCTGAGAAAACACACAGAAGCAGAAAAGCTACAAGATGCAAAGTTCTGCATGCCAGAATTAAAGAAGAACACCCAGATGTAATATCAGCCATGGAAAATCTTATATCCACATATAGTGATAAGGGAAAATGCACAGAAGCAGAAAAGCTGAAGATGCAAGTTTTGAATGCCAGAACCAAAGAAGGACAACCAGCCATAATAGCAGCCAAAGCACACCTTGCATCTACATACAGTGATATGGGAAAACATACAGAAGCAGAGAAGCTGCAGATTCAAGTTCTGAATGCCAGATATGAGATTCTTGGAGAAGAGCACCCAGCCACAATATCAGCCAAGGCAAACCTTGCTTCTACATACAGTGACCTGGGAAAACATACAGAAGCAGAGAAGCTGCAGATTCAAGTTTTGAATGCCAGATATGAGACTTCTTGGAGAAGAGCACCCAGCCACAATAGCAGCCAAAGCACACCTTGCATCTACATACAGAGACCTGGAAAACATACAGAAGCAGAGAAGCTGCAGATTCAAGTTCTGGATGCCAGAAAGAAAATCCTTGGAGAAGAACACCCTGCCACAATCTCAGCCATGGGAAATCTTGCATTAACATATGGAGATCTGGGAAAACATATAGAAGCAGAGAAGCTGGAGATCCAAGTTCTGGATGCCAGAAAGAAAATTCTTGGGGAAGGTCACCCAGCCACAATGTTAGCCATGAAAAATCTTGCATCAACATACAGTGATCTGGGAAAATATACAGAAGCAGATAAGCTGCAGCTCCAAATTATGGATGTCAGCAGCAAATTTCTTGGAGCAGAACATCCAGTTACAATCAATGCCATGAGAACTGTAGAGATGCTAGCTGCAATATGCAGTCGATTCAGGGATGTGGACAATGCACAGCACCATATTTTCAATACAAGCCATGAAACTTCTTCAACGCAAGATGTGGAATGGGAGCATGTGAACACTGATGTTCCACCTGCCAGCATCAGGGTTCTAGAAGAAGATGACTTTGTCACAGTAGAGGGTCCAGGAAATCTTCCACCTACCACCAATGCAGATGATAGAATCATACAATCTCTGAATAAAGGTATTTAATTGGCCTACTACTTGCTTTTACCCCTTTCTGATGGTTATATTCCCAGGCCAGTTCATTTCAAATTCCAAATCCAAACTGCTGTTTGGAATTCATAAGAAGAGAGGTAATGCAGCTCAGTCCTGATAACTCCCCATGTGTTTTCAAACCTGGGGTATGTTTTGACATTTTCTACTATGCCATGACACATGACTGAAATATAAAGTTTACATAAAGTCTACATAGATAATGCTGCATAACCAATCATACTCATGATGAACATTGGATATGCTGTACAACTATGTGTACTTTACTCAAATTTGATTTACTTTGACTCTGTTACAGACTCTTTTTGCTCATACTTACATACACACTGCAGACACTTATTCATTTCTTAAGATGCATCTAGACTATACTGGACAATTCTAGATACACATTCCAGGCCCTATTCCTTTTATTATATGACTTTCTTTTCTTTTTCTTTTGTATATAAGTAGCTTTACTTTGGCTTGTATTCAGTAGCTTGAACCTAGGCAATCTAAGCTTAGTTCAAACCTCAGAAACCTCAGAACAGTGATCACCCTTTAACTCTGTAGTTTTAACAACTTAGAGCCTCTTTACAAACTTAAAAAGTCTTTTCAGCATAAGACCTAGAACCTAGAAGTTTGACTTAACAAAGTCAGTGTATCATAGAAGTCTGCACAGACCTTTGGGCACAGAGCTACTAGAACCCTGGGCTGATTCAATGTCCATACATTGTCAGCTTCTTCATCTAGCTAATAAATTGTATCCATTTCCTTGAACAATGAGCTAAACCATGACTACAATAATACTGATCCCACCAACTGACTTTGTTGATCAGAATTGAAGGCCCTCAGCCACTCATCAACCTAGGAGCTCTCAATATCATCAGCTGACTTTGCATAGCCACCTTAAATCAGCTGATATACCAATACAAGTCTTTTGCTTCCTGGGGCACTTTCCAGCTGACCTTCAGCTTTGACATGATGTTGATACTTGCTGGTCCTCAACTCTATACATGACTGAATGGGTATTGCATCTAGAAAAAGTATGTAATTTAGTTTACTTTTGATCATTTGACCATTTCTCTTAGAGTCTGTCTGGTAATGAGAACTGACTTTCATCTCACCTTCATGTTCATTTGATGGCTTACAAATTGAGTCACACAGGGTACAATAAGCTCAGATAACCAACAGATAACACCCTAACTCTCATGCCCATTGCTCCTCATTGCCAGCATCATGCACGCCCCCATTACAACCCCTGTAAACTTATCAGTAATCAAATTCATGAACCTGTGCATGCAAGATACACAATGTTTCCATGCAGCAGTACTTTTATAATCACAGTAAGTTGGTTTAAGCTTCATTCTTCATCTCCCCCCTTTCCTCCCCTTTATGACACCTGTTGCTCATTGGGAACCACTCGAGGAAAAGGCCCTCATCAATTTCATCTTTAAGAATTGTTCTGAGAGTGGTGATGCAGGTAATTTCAAGCCAAAGACATTTCAAGCTGGTGTGCCCATCATCACCCCATTCTATGTCTGCAGCACCTTAAAAGCAGTGAAGACCCTCCAGAACAAATGGAGCATGGTACATGGCATGTTTTTTTAAATCTGATTCTGCAATATTTATATTTTTTGCAGCTACGCAAGATTTACCACACAATGCTTGTTATCAAGGAGGTTTCCAGCTGGACTTCGGATGATGAAACTGGTGCCAGCATTACCCCAATGATAGCCTCTCCCTGGGATGACTAAGGTAGACAACTTTCATAATCATGAAACATCATGTGCCGTTACTTTGCTGTTACACCTTGATCAAATCAGGTAATAAAACAACTGAGAAATAATTTGAGCTCTTCCTACTCAGTTTTGAACACAATATGGACCTAGTTTCCATAGATCTACTTAATGTCAACCCCTTTGCAAAAAATTGAGCAATTTGGAGAAAAACTGACTGAGCCTATGCATTTTCAAAATTGACACTTAGTATAACACTGCTGGATCAGATAATGAGATACACTAAAAGTTGTGCAACATGGGAGCAAAGAGGTACAATAAGGCAGGTTTGAACAATTCCCTTTTTTCCCAGTTCCCTCATGATATTTTATCTGGGAGAACAATGCCCCTTGTATTTATGCACTCAGGCACCACTGCTGTGCCTACTGACCATTCAAGCCTCTAAGCCTCTTTCATATACATCCATGAATCGTCAGGACTTAACTGCAAGTATGAGGTAGATAAAAATGCTTTTGTAGACACAACATGACAGCAAGGGGCTTAATTAGTTGAATACTAATCATGTTGACTGTATTTTTCTATCTCCTTTACCAAAACCGAACATTGTTCCAAATTTTTACTGATTCACATGTCCAGGATATTTATCTACAAAAGCTAGGTTCTTATGGTACAATAGGACCCCTAGAATTATACATACAAATGGATTTTGTAAAACATTACCCTTTTTAGCAGCTGTCACATTGGTCACATGACATTTGACAATTATGAAAGTCGTCTACCTTACATCCAGAAGCACCCAGAGGCTAAAAACTTTTGGAACAAGGCTTGCCACACCTCAACCACATATCCTTGATCATTCCCAGCAGCACCACTGGGGCCAACATTTTCTTTCCAACCATCTCTTTGGCTCCTGAGCCTCATTTGCAAGGTGGCCAGGATGAGGCATCTCCAGATCCCACTGGATCAGACTCAGCCAATGGACAAGAGGATGATCAGAATGATGACAAGGTACATATATCATTTCCTTCATATTTCTGTTGACTATTCAATGCTTTTCAGACTTCTCCCCCTCAGGATTCTTCTTCTTCTCATCATTGCCATAAACCTGCCACCCCAACCTGTCCAATGCATTCCCACAACACTGGTGTGAATGCCCTTTCTCGCATGTCTGACTCAATCAAAAGCTTCAGTAAATATATTTCAACACCCCCTACCCTGGTTGTTCCTACACCTATCCAGCATACAAATGCCATCGCTTTTGCTATGAAACATGAGAAAGTTTGGCTCACCAAAACCAAACTGATTTGGTTTATCGACGATCTTCTTAAAGATCAGATCACAGCTGATGTCTACATGGCAATGGAAGAGGATGCTGATATACAAAGGGAGTGGGTCCATATTCAAATGGAAGATTAACTGGGTGTCACTGTCTTCCCCAATCTTCCTTAGGCTGCTTTCTGATCATCTCTTGCACTTTTCTACTTACCCTCCATTCTTTTCCACTTGCTACATTTATTGCAATACCTTTTGTTTAATTACTACAATTGTTTCAGTAGTCATTGGTTGATCACTACCCCCTCGTTCTCTCTTCCAAAAGTCTTTGATAGTCATCCCACATTTCCTTCACAATTTGATCCCTCAGCACCGTTCCCCTCTCCTTTTTAGCACACGTGACTGCTCCATGTGCAAGAGATCCAAACTCATTGTCCAATGTTTGACCTGGTTTTAGATCTAAGTCATGTTCTTCATTCCCAGTAAGGTAATTGTCAATGTCATGAGAGTCATGGCCCATAATGAAATTATGAGTTGCAGCCATGCCATAGGGAATTTTGACCTGGATATGCATTGGATATTCAGATGGGCAGGTATGGATCCCCCACTTCTTCTTCAAAACACCAAATACACATTCAATGACATTTTTGGCTGAAGCATGGCATAGATTAAAAAGTTCTTCCTTGTTTGTGAGTCTATAAATGAATAAATAAATAAAGGAATATAAATTGGGATTGCTATATACCTGATGTTTGCACGTCCCCACTCAGTGAGATGATACTGGAGTACCAGAGTTTTAAAATGTGTTGAGTCATAGCCTTAAACTTAAAGCCTATGCATATTTCACATCAAACTTTGTGTTTATCAAAATTTCATCCCCCATTGTCATTGTCATGGCTGTGGTTGTTCACGCATTCACAATTGTGTGCTTTCTTGCTAGGGAAGCACAGAGGCACTCAGTGTGGTGCATCATCATTGATATCAGAATCTTTGTGTTGCTGACAAACCCATCCGCTGGACAGTGGCAGAAGGTCTGAGATTTGGGAAATCCAAATGTCTGAGTGTTTGGTGGTCCACCGTGTCTGTATGTTCAGTGTTTTCCCAACATCATGTTGCTGCCTTTTCCCAAATATTGAAAACCTAACCAGGCACAAACCTTCAACACCACCAATGCAACCTATGCAACCATTCCACTGAAAATGTGTTTCCTCCCTCATGCGGATTGACTCCATGCAACTAGATTGACTCTATGCAACTAATAATGACACCCCCCCTTTGTTCAACACCAACAGACCATCTGATGTGTACACCCCACACACCAATCCTCCACATGCATGTCTCAATCACCTGGCCATGCTTCACCATATAGGAAGGAGGCTCCTGCCCAGCTTAAAGATACATGCCTGGGAGGAGAAAGAATACATTGGTCCAGTGTATTTACAAAGCATGTGAAGAAAGCACCTTCTGCTTCTGTTATTACTTTTATTTTTTATCTTGTATGTTCAACTGTCTCCCTACTAGCACTGTAAGTACACCTGTCTATGCTGAAAATTGAGTGCACAGCCATTCACTGTGTTTTGCACCAAATTGTATTTGGCAAGAAACATGAATAAATATCGGACTTTCGGAGAAAGACTACTGTACTATTTCAACCAAGTGTTCACGTCACACATCACATTGACAAAAAAACTAATTATTTTTAGTCATCTTAAATCAAAAAAAAAAATTTGGCCATCTCAGTGTGAAAAAATTCCAAAAATCATGAACACTTGGTTGAAATAGTACTCATCCCTGTCAAAAGCATGGAAACACATTGAAATAGCTTGTTCTCACTCAAATCAGCACCAAATGACTCCAAATAAGTTGTAGACATAGAAATTAGGGTCATTGGGTCCTGAATCTGAGGGTAGAAATTTACCAAATAAGGAAATATTATAGATATTGTCTCTACAGTAGATGCTGCAGAACACAAGCATGCTAGGAGATTTTTTGTAGCAAGATTTATGTACACCACTCACAAGGGGTTGAAAAATAGAGTAGAATCCATCTTTGGTTCATGCAATTTGATCAAGATTTGAGCTTACAATTGTCTCCTCAAACTTGGA